TTATTAAAATGCAACATTTTTTTTGTTTTAATGAAAAAATCAGTTATTTTCATGAGAACGATTTGTTATTCCATCTCAATTTTTTTAATCTCCAATCGCAATAACGTAAAGTATTATTACCCGCGAACCAATGAGTCACATTTAAGAAACGACCCACTGTTAGAAAGCTGAATGGCTACGCTTTAAAATGAATGTAAACTTTAACGTTTTCGTCTATTATTTGTTTATCAATTTACATTTCAGTCGAGGATTGCGCTTTTTTTGATACACCCTGTATATCATTTTACCCTGTCTATCACCAGACAATTTTACTCGTCATGGTCAAAAATATGCATGTCGACTTAATGACAAAGAAGTGGTAAGAAATGCTTTCCCTACCATGGCACTGAACACTTCAGAAAAGTTCATTTAACTGCAAGGACTTGTTAGATGGTTTTCACTAATATAAATGAAAAGAGCTAATTACCTAATTGTATTAAGAGCATAAACATCTATAGCTGGAGTAGAAAAAGCCATTTTGTGTTGTATTTATATTTAAATTTTCTTTATAGAAATGATGGCTACATGTATCAGCAAGGGCTACTGTAATGTACAAAATATATGTACCAGCTTGGGACATGCCTGTAGTTGGTTAAAAATCTGTGCAAGTACTCAATGAACATCCGGATAATGTGACCTATCATTTGCAGTTGACAATCAAACCAGTGCCTTTTTTAACTATATATCTGGGGGGGGGGGCAATTTCCCCCCTGGAAAAGAATTTGCCCCCCCCCCCCCAGTAAAGCCATTTTTGCCCCGAAGTGCGAAGCAGAATTGCTGATGATTGCTGTCAGAATTGCAGTTGATTTACTTGATAATGAGATGATGCCCTTCCATAGCCTCCTCCACAGCCATCTTGTATGCAATTCATATTGTTCTTCACCGAGTATTTCATAATAGCGATAGATTTCATGCAAACAATCCGATAAAATGCTATCCTTTCCCACCCTTACGACTATTTCCTAGCACTCTCCTCCGCAGAGGCGTTGTGTTTTGTTTTGGGAGGTTTCATATTGCAAAATTTTTTTTAAAAAAATATCAAGTTATATTAAGAGCCCCCCAACCCCACCCCCCACCCCCAATCGCCACAAAAGCCATTCTCTCAGAAAGTACACGTTACATTCTCGAAGCGGAAACTGATTAAGTTCGTCTCGACTGAGGAAAAAGACGATATACTAGAGGAACTTGATTTGTGAAATCTCGTTAAAGCGGTTGTAGATATGGTTCCAAGAAGAATAGCCAATTTAGTTTAGATCTTTAACTGTTAGATTTTTAACTTTTAAACAATTAAATCTTCATAGCATGAATATTTCTTCTCAGACTTATTCTGTATCGTATGAAAAAGGAACGCAATTTTGAGAATGCGGAAATGGTGTCTCATAGAACCTAAAATGATTTAAATGCAATATTTCTGATCAAAATCACATTGGGATTCCCCCCCCCCCC